TCTATATATATATATATATATATATATATAATCGATAAAAATTTCTATATTAATGAATCTGGAAAGGTTTCGTTAATTCCCTTGTACTTGAGTGCGTCTGTGTGTGTATGTATGCTAACGTCGGCACGCAAAACTGGCCATAATTCAGATTAATTATAGGAAAGCTTAACATCACCTCTGGGTCATCACAGCTTACTGACCCAAAAAAAGTATGACCGAGATTGCGTTAGTCCGTAAGTAACCCTGATTGAATTGATGAGATGCAAGCCGGTACGCGTGAAAGTCAGTTTGGACTTCTTGATCTTGTGACAAGAATGAGCTGTAGCGATGGACGAAAGCTCAGCCCGTCTTCACCCGAAACGAGGGAGGAGGTCTCGTGGACTGTGACAATCTGAATGTCGTCTTCTGATGAGATGAATCCATGAATCTCTTCTTCATGCACTTTCATACGAAATCAAGGTTTCCCAACATGTTTTCCGAGTTTAGACTGATTAGACGAACCCTTCACGAGGCTGTAATCCTCCACTTTGTTGTGTTTTTTTTGCCAGAATGCCGGCGATGCGACGTCGCCGAGGCGCCCCGGTCCGCCTCGCTTCGAAGGGTTTCTGGCTTCCGGCGTCTCGTCTGCTCTTGTTGGTGTCGTGGCTGGTGCTGGGGCCTTGCGGGGCGGTCGCGTCAAAAGCGCCCCTCAGTCTGCAGTACAAGATCCTGGAAGAGGTACCGGTGCACACGAGAATCGGCGAGATCCGCGAGGATCTGTGCAAGCAACTGCAACTGACCGGACAACCGCACGACCGACTGGTCCGTCTGTTCGGCGAGGAGCCCTGCTATCCGGGCTTCCTGGGCCTGGGACGGCGGGACTCGGAGTCAGGCGACGAGGTGCGCTTCCTGCTCGGCCGGCCCTCGGCCCATTTCCGATTGGACGAGGTGACTGGCGGTCTGACGGTTCGAGGCCCGATCGACCTGGAGACACTGTGTCCCTACGAGACGCGCCAGGCAGCCGGGCCAACCGGACCATCGGGACCGGGCAGAGGAGGGACGGACTGCGGCATCTTGCGCTTTTCTGTCAACATACAACGCCAGCATCTGCTGCTCGAGATTGTGCGTGTTGACGTGGTCGTCGCCGACATCGACGACTGTCGACCTGAATTCCAGCTCGACTTTGCCGACGACGCAACGAACGTCTACGAGTTGCGAGTTGCCGAGGCTCCGGCCACCGAGACTAGCTGGACCGAGGAGTTGCCGGCCGCCGTCGACTGTGACGTCACTCCGGAGTTTGCACAAATCGACTATCGTCTCTTGCCCGACACCACCGCCGTCGTCGACGTCGACTTTGCCGTCACCGACGATATCGGCTTTGGCGTCGGCGTCGGCGTCGCCGTCCACGAGGACGGGGCGGGTGCGCGTTTTCGCCTCAGCGTCGGCAACGACTCTCGGCCACAACTGCACATTTTGACCGGTCTAGACTACGAGAAACGGCGAGAGTATGCCTTCGTGTTGGTCGCCTTCAGCCGGCACAGAGAGACAGAAGAGGCCAGACTGCCCGTCCGACTCTACGTCCTCGACGTCAACGACAATAAGCCCGTCTTCGAGCAGAAGACCTACACCGTGGAGGTTCGAGAGGACACTGCAGTCGGGACTCTCATCGTCCGAGTAAGTTGGGCCTGTCTGGAAGAGGCTAAAGTCGACACTTTGTTTGGCCCAAAAGGGTCCCAAGAAACACTTCCTCGACCAATCATACCAGAGGGCAAAATTAATTGTGCGCTGTATCTGCTTCATACAAAACACACAATTGAAAATTAGGCATGTGCAGACTGGCAGATAGTGCATTGCCGGTTATGCATTGTGAAGTGAAGCAAGTGATTGGTTTCACATCAATTGGTAAATAGTGAATACGATAGTCGAATTTTCCCACCGGTATGTGATATCATTGAGTTTCTCCCTATCCCCTAGTTACAAATAATATTCTTATCCAGACTAGAATTCAGCTTTAAGCTGGCACCAAACACGAATTGAACACCGCCAGGGTGGAGCTTTTAACGAGCCCAACTTGTTCTTTGACACCACATTCGACAATACTACTTGTATATTTGGTGAGTAGATCACGAGACTGTGACTAAGCCTTCAAAATATCTTAGGTCAATAAGATGATGAAGAACTGATATGAACTGTATGCACCCTATTTTATTTGAGGATATCAATGACTATAGATACGAAGAGTAATTAGTTTCCATGACCCTCCTAAGATGACAATGATGGGGAGCATTTTTATTTGATAAACGAATGCTCATCCGTCTTTACTCGATACGAGAGAGGATGTCTCATATGCCAAAAAAGGTTGGGTTTCTGAGAATCTCTTGTTTCATAATTGTTGAGCTTACTTCCATTTCGAGTGAATGTGTTGGGTGAATAGATTCGAAGCTCGGTTCCACCAGAAGACGACGGCAGATTCCTCTTGACCAGCTGTCGATTGGCTTTGATGGAAGATTCATGCTGACGCTGGTTGCGAGGTCATTTCATTCTCTCGTCAACTGCGTCAACCTGAACGTCGTATTAAAGTCAAACGGCCGCAAAACTATGAAAATCGGCCTTCGTCTTGTGGTCAGATCGAGCTACGAATATCTTCATTATGCACTTTCATACGAAATGAAATTTTCTCTAACATATCAAAAACAAATACCGTATTTTCCGGTCTAAAGACGACTGGGCGTATAAGACGACCAGTTAAAATATATATTTTGTTATATACTCGCCGTATAAGACTACCCCCTCTTCCGCACACCAAATAAAACTTACAAGAACATCCGATTTGATTTCAACATGGCAATTTTAATTCAAAGCAGCAAAACTGTTACTTATAAACATAAGGCTGAGTGTCATCAAACATGTACCGTAAACATAAGGAGGAGAAGGTAAGGGGCACAACAGGAGCTCGTAACCATAGTATAATTAGCGATCCCTAAACTACACTCGGCGTATAAGACGAACCCCCACTTAGGAGCAGAAATGTATGGTGTGAAAAGTCGTCTTATACGCCGTAAAATATGGTAGTTGAATTTTCTTGCAAGCACATAATGAATAGGCCTTAACTTTTCATGCAATTTCACATTGCATTGCTCCTAAAAAGTTAGCCCATCCAGACTTTACTGGAATTCACTTTTAATCTCGCCAAAACCGGTCTCTTCAGCAC